ATTAGTCAGTTCTTAAATAATAACACCACTTTTTCAAGTGCTAAGTCATATAGCATTAAATAGGATGAATGTAAATGATAAATTAGTATGGATGTGGAGGAAAGCAGTCACAACCTATTTTAAGGTATTACTTGGCATCTGACATAGGAACTGAATAAAACTACAATTAACCTGTCAGGATAGAGTCTGAGCCAAGATTCAAACCTGGGCCCCCCAGACATAAAGCAGAGTACTAACCACTTTACCAGAACATTTCATCAGTATTCACTATTTCAAAGAAACTACCTAGTAAGTAACTAATTAATCAATTAACTAACCAAAATTAAAGTTGACTAATCAACTGACCATATGTAAACTTGCCCACTCAAATAACAAACTGCACCTAGCTAGCTTACTAATTAATCATACAACTAACTCATTCCTCCACATGAAAGCCTACAACTGGACCAGCCTCTGAACCAGTTCAATTAAGTATGTAGCCTAACGACCTATGAGTAAACAGACAAGATCAATTTTAATATTATCTTCCCACCTCCATCTCATCCTTCCAAGAGGGTACCAAACTACAATTCTTCATGCATTTATAGTTTTCCCCATCATGACTCCTTGAAGAATTTACTATGTACCAAAATTAAAGAATATAAAAGGAAGAGTGAAAAGTGTGCAGGCATGCTTGAACAAGTTTAAAGATAACTTTACGTCCACTCTGATGTTAAGAAAAATTCTGTTAATTAAAGATTTACAGTGACTTACCAGCTGCACTAGGAATTCAGTTTTGATGCGCCGAGAGCTTTCATGTTCAGTGTCACTCCTCTGGGTTAGTAATGAATCTATCTCATCTATGAAGACCACAGCTGGCTGATGGCATCTGTGTTATGAATAAATTGCATGTGTAATTGATGGCAGGCTTGTAATTAAACATCCTATTAACTGGACCTTTCATACCCCCAATACAAATTGTCATTCCTTTAACCAACAAGTCTCACTCTGATAAAACCACTTTCTTGGTTGAACAATTGGGACACTACTTTTATTCTGTGTTTGGAGTGCTTTCAGAAGTCTTTATTCACAGTCTGTAAACATGTCATCATGGTTAAACTACTGATGTTTCATGTAAATTTACATGATTGGGGGGGGGTGGGAACAGAGAATGATGGGTGCATGGAAGTTGACAAAAATGTTTGTCACACATACTGAAGAACAAACTCAGAATGCATCTGTAGTCAAAGGTTGCTGAAGAGACTCAAAGGAAGAAGAGAAACAATGTTTCTTGGGCCATGCTTATAAAGGTAAGTTGGTTAAATGTAAAAATTTAGGATATTATTCAAGGAGGAACTTTGCAGTTTACAGAGCTCATATTGTTTGGATAATGAAATTTAGGAGGCTACAGTGGGCTGGACATATAATTGAGGTAGGAGAGACAAGAAATATATACAGAATTTTGAAGGGAAACTTCTTGGAAACTGGCCACTGAATGAGGAGACATAACAATATGATATGATGTGAAGTGGATAGAATTACCTCTGGATCATGTTATATGGTATCCTTTGGTATTAATAATGCTGAAGCTCAGTGTTCTACGAAGAGCAGAGACTATTAGAAAGCAGTAACTTCAGTGACTGATGCAATATTTCATCCACGACATTTGTATTGTTTTGTATGTTTTTATAAGTTTTTGACTGATTTATTTTGAATGGTAGAAACAATTTTCTTTGAATACATACATTTTTCTTGAAATCATTCAGTAATAAAATCATACTTGAAAACAAAATATTTCTTTTAACATTCAATATACTAATAATAAAGGTTTGTTCTTGACAGGAATTACTATTTAGCACAAAATGCTTGGACAGAGATTTCACTTCCTTTAACTGACCCAAAAAGAATGAGCCTTACAGACCCTGTCACAATAGTGATCCAAATCAAATGAATTGGATCATAAAAGTGATCCATACTGCCCACCTCTAATCCACAGAGATTTCATTACTGATCCTAATACATTTTATTATGAATCACTAATATCAAAACTTTCCTCATCTTGTTCTTCTGACAGCACAGCCAATCACATCCTGCTACTGTTCTAGTCATTGTGTTAAAAGGGAACTAAATGCAAAATTTATAAGGTCTCAAAACAAACCTGTATGTGGTATATGAAAGCACACATTGATAATGAAATATTAATCTTTCAGGGTATGCAGCAATCACTGTCAAACAGTTTAAGTATTTATGTGATGGTACACAAACCAGAATCTTTTGACATATATCCAACTTGATTGTATGCGTTGATCATATACAGACAAAAGGAGGATTGATCAGTCTGTTATACATGCCTCAGTTCCATTTAGCTGCAAAAACCTCAATGAGACAGACACAAAGTTTTGTTTTTAAACACTAGACATTAAGATACAAAACTTCACCAGTGAAAGAACACTTAACTATAAAATATGAAACAAAGTTGAAACAGCTTCACAATTATGTGAGAAAGACAACATTAATTGGCAGAATTTATTTTGAGTATGCAGTTGTTGAAATTGGGCTATTGTACTTAGCTTGTCAGACACATAGTAATTATAACTTCATTATTAATACACATGCCCAAATGATGCAACCACATTCCATTCACAGATAAGATCATTCAACTGCACGTGAAAGTTTATATTTCTACCACAGACTTTGATCTATGGTTACAATAGAATCAGTTTATTTCCTGCACGTTGTCTTCAGAGACACATATTAAGAGAAATATACAACTGAGTTACCTTGCAACTGCAAATAATGCACGAACCATCTTTTCACCATCTCCAATCCACTTGGAAGTAAGAGAAGAGGCACTTATACTGAAAAATGTAGAGTGGGACTGAGATGCAATGCATTTCCCAATCAGAGTTTTTCCTGTACCTGGAGGCCCAAACAGCAAGATGCCTTTCGGAGGACGTCGTAAACCAGTGAAAATATCAGGTCTCAATAATGGCCACACAACTACTTCCTGAAACACAATAACAAACATTAAGAAACTCCATCTTATCATTATGCATTTTGAAGGATTAGATCTTAATAATTGTTGTATTAGGATAGGTGAGGGTAACAGTAGTAATAATAAAAGAAAGCCAGATGAGGCATGACTGTGAACTAGGCAGCCTCACAAGAGAAATTATGTATTTTAAAACTTGCTTAAAAATAATCAAAATAATCAGACTAAACATGTTTTGTGGCTGAGATTTGAGGTTTCTATGGTAAAGAAAATTTTGGTTATAGTCTTGTAAGCTGTAATGCTATGTAGTCTTACTACAAGTGGTTACTAATGTTTTGAAGGAATGTACAGCCTATTAAACACTGGTTATCACATACAAGACCATAAAGCATCACAACCTAGACTCTACAATGCATATTTTGTAATCATAACAAATGACAAGGATAACTAACTCCATGCAGCAGAATCATCTTGAGAAGCTAATAGTTACTTAGCTAGCCAAGAAATTTCCTGTCCTTTATGAAACCTAAGAATACCATGTTCACCAGAACCCCACCACTGGTCCCTATTCTGAGACAAATGAATTGAGTTCACACCTTCTTACTTTTTTCTATAAGGTTCAATTTAATAGTATGTTTCAGAGGTCCTTGCTTATTCCATCATCAAGGCAATTAGGAGGCAGCAAGGAACTATGAAATATCAGTAAACTTCTACCAGACTACATAGCGCAACAAACCAGAAAACAGCCATCTTCAAACTCACCACCGTGAAAACTTCAAATCCTACATAATTCATTCTTCCCTTACAAAGTTTGTACCATGAGATATTTCTAAGAATAATTAAAACAGAGTTTGATATGAGTGCCATGTAAAGTATGTGTTATATTGGACTGAATAAAAACAAAATAAATTTGCCTGTCAAATTTAAGTACAGAAGACCAAAATCTACTGAGTAGCTTTTGAGATTAAACATGTAAATGGACAGACAAATGCTACCTCCCCATTCACATTTATTTCATACATTTTTTTGCAAAAATCACACGAAAAGCAACCTGTGAGTATAGGGCACCTGTATTGTAGATTTAGCAAAATCTAATCCAGCAATATCATCCCATGTCACTGCAGTCTTGTTATCCATTATTTCACTTTGTATTAGTTGCACCATTTTGGGATCAATATTTTTGAGCCTTTCATCTGCTTCTATTTCATTTTGTTCCCACTTCTGGCACCTCTGGTTTCCACTACAAGCACCTTCAAAATCACTGCAATATAAATAATCATTAAAATATGGGCCATAAAGGCAACCAGAAGAACATCAATATGAGCCATTTTGCTATGCATAATTTTTCACTGCTTTCCTAAATAAAATTAATCTTAATGTAAAGTGTTTTCTACCCCTTTATGAGACTGCGTGTGGTGTCTGTCAACCAGCACATGTTCTGGAGGCATGACTCTATTGCAGGTCTGTGCATTCCCATTTCTACAGCAACAAGAGCTCTGATCTTAAGTGCTGTAACATCTTTTCACTTCAAATATCTTGAAGACTTTCAGGACCCATTCAGGCCTCACATATTTGTGTACCAAGATCCCAGATCGACTAATGTTACTATTCAAATATCACATAATTAATTTCTCACATTCATTTTATTACTTCCTGCACTATTCTTGCATTCTTTGTCTACAGTGTTATAACTCACTCTTCCATGCTGGATCTTATAGGCGGTATGAACTTGTTCGTGACGCCTCGTCTTGTTCCAAGTGATCTCTTTAGTTGTCCTCCATAGCCACATCCTGCTCCACCTCCAGCAGCATAATGGTTAGCACCATTGTTTCCTTTATTGTGCCACTTCAGGTTTTGAAGATTCTAAAAATATAAATGACACTAAGACATTATTATACATCAGGGCTGGACAGGAAATACTACACTGTTCAGAATAAATCTTCCATCTTAAAATAATTTGTACAAACACATAAAAGGTTTCTGTTGCTGACCCAGGGCAACACAAAATTTGTATGGCTCATCATCCTGTGGATATACTAATGCTTACCACCTCACCCATTCCCATGATATTCACACCGTTTTCTTCCTAAGATAGACTTATGATATGTTCATGTCTGTGTATGTGTCTGTCTCACAATTAATAACTTCCAATCCAACTTATGTATTTTTATGAAACTTGTAATGAACATATGCCATTTAAGGCTACTCCATCTTGCATATTTTAATTTATTATAAATGATTCCAAAATAGCAGAAGCATGAACTTTGAGGTGAGAGAAACCTATACACCACTGTATATAAATATCTAAAATTTGGTATGGTAACAAATTTTAGAATAATATATAATTATTGTAATTTTCTTGCAGAATGTAAACCACGATGGCAGTGTTATGAAATCAATGTACAACTTCCAGATTTGTGGCAGTAATTAACAACCCACCTATATGAAATTTGATACAGAGATCATAAACATGCCTACAAGTTCCATCATATGTACTCTGCAAGTTAAAAATTGAAAAATATCAAAAGCATGAAACTCAGAATATATCCAATAAATTAAATACAGGTGAAATTTATTGGAAATACTGTATAGAATTCCTATCCTACTTCCTATCACTCCTAACTTGAGCATAGGGCATCTGTGAAACATCACCATCTAGTATGATTGTGTATTGGCCATTCTCTTCACTTCCTTCCAGGTCTTGCCCATCTCAGCAGCCTCCTCTTAAACCATCTTCTTCCAGGTTTTCTTGTACCTCCTCATCTCCATGCACCCTGTAGATTCCAGTCTAATGCCACCCTCTCTATAGCTCCCTCTGGTTTTCTCAAAGTATGTCCAATCCAGCACCAATTCCTTTCTTTTATCTGATTGCTGGTTTGTTACATCCCATAGATTGATATCACATCCGGCTATCTCCTATTAATACAGCATACACAGCGATTAATGAAAATTTACAGCTGGTTGGTAATCTGTTTTGTGGTCTTCCGTGTCTCACAACCATACAAGAGAAGTGGTTTGACATTGTTATTAGAGTCTAAGTTTGGTTTTCCTGATTAGTTTTCACTCATGTAATATTTGGCATTCGTATCCCTCGCACATTTCTTTAATAATGTTAATAATCTTCGTGGGCGATTGATATTCTACTGAGTTTGCCACATAACTTTCCTGTTAACCGAGTCAAAAGCCTTCTCAAAGCCGGTGAAGGTCAGTTAAACATGTTCTGCCACTCCGTACTCTGTTCCATTACAATTCGAAGCATTTATGAGGTCAACACAATTATGGTGCCTTCGAAACCATGCTTGCTCTTTCCTAAGGCGCATTTCAATAGTCTTTAATGTGATTCAGGATGACCCTTGAAAACACTTTACTTCGTACAGACAGGAGGGTGATACCCCTCCAGCTATTACAGTTGGTAGTGTCTCCTTTCTTGAACAACTTAGCAATCATACCTTTCTTCCAGTCAGCTGGTATTTTCTCCCCCATCCAAATCTTCACAAACATAGGGTGCAGCAGATCTATCGAGGTCTCTGCATCTACTTTAAGGACTTCCAGGGCAATATTATCTAACCCTGGAACTTTCCCGCTCTTCATCTGCTTGAGAGCTATTTTAATTTCAGCACGAAATCGAGGGTGAAGGTCAATATTTGGATCCCTATAATGTGGATGCTGTGCCTACCCTACATATATTATTTAAAAGTAACTCACCATCTCATCTCTGGCTGTATGGAACATATTTGAAGCATGCTGTCCAGTAGAGCTGAAATTGGAGCCTTGTTTCCCATACACTGCAGAACCACCCATCATCCTGAAACCTAATCAATCTTCACACACAATATGAACTTAAAAAACACAAAAAGCTCATTCTGATGTGATTTGATCCTGCAGATGTTTACCAAGTCCTTATTCAGACAAATGTACAGTGGTCTACAATGCCTTCAAACCTGGCACAATAAAAATAAGTACCAAAATGTTTTTACATTCCAAATAGTGGTGGCCCTGCATGGAAGGGACATCAATTTCACAACCATTATTACAATAGTGCCGAGGTCAAGAATGAGTAGGAGCTATACCTCCATTCCCCCCAAGCGCCTACATGGCGTATAGTGGGACAGCTTTACTTTTTGACATAAATACGTCTATAAGGAAGGGTCATTCGGCAAAAAAGTGTAACGATAAAGGGGCAAATAAACAACAATGGTTACCTAGGAAATGTCATCTGTTTATCAACAAATAAACAACAATGGTTACCTAGGAAATGTCATCTGTTTATCAACAAATAAACAACAATGGTTACCTAGGAAACTTCATCTGTTTATTGTTACCTACGAAATGTCAACTGTTTACTCAACATTATTGTTACCTTACCTTACATTACATTACTTTATATTACATTCAGCTACCACAGACCCATCTTAAGCGTAACTAATTCAAGTTGAATAAGTAATGTCTTAATCAAACTTATCTCAATTGTAAAGCATGAATAAAGGAAATATTTAGAATAAAGCCAATATATAAACTTCCTTTCCATATAGACGTATTTACGTCAAATTCTCCGGAACTGTGGTTCCACTGACAACTTTTTTTTTTACTATATTACAATGGAGCAAACATGTAAGAGTAAGTGTTTTGCAAACTTATATTATTTATAAAGCTTTCATAGAGTTCTCACATAGTTATAGACCTAAATTTCACCCCAATATATGATTTTTTCAGTCAGGAGATACTGACCTATCCATTTTTCATATCCTAAGATTTCTGAGATTTAAGGTTACTAGAAAGGATAATGATGCTAGAAGACTCATAGGCAGATACCAACATTTTGGAGGTGGAAACAGTATCTACCTACAAGTCTACATAGCATAACAACATTTCACAGAAACAATGGTATATACCTATAACCCAGAAGAACATTGTTATACATTAGTGTGCCACTACATAAAATCTACTGTAATGTATTTGTGACTCTGCTAACAATACCTTGCTGTTCTGGTCTGTCCTCCAAGCTTTTGTTGTGGCCTGTTGTGTGCAAATACGTAAACACATGATAGTCATTTTGTTCTTGCCTTCTGGTATTGTTAATTTGATGTTGGTTTGCTATGGCTGGTCTTCCAAGAGCATAACCTAGAGCCATATAAAAAAGAAGATACAATTAACAATTTTCCTGTGCACACTAACATTTAAAATTTAGTAAATTCTGTGGAAGTGTAGAGAAAATTATTTACTATATATTTCATTTAAATGCATCTAGCAACTAGCCTAATTAGTTTCATTATTAAAGAAATTAAATGTTTATTATGTTTTAGAGAAATATCTAACCATATCAGAAAACAGACAACATATGTTTAAAATTACAATTGTGAACATGCTACTTGAATCATGAAACAAATCAACAGTCTTAGAAGAGATCAGAATTTCATGACAGACCACAAGCATATGCCAAAAATTGCTTACAGGCATAGTCTTCAGCAGTATGTTTTGAAATATTCTGGCCACCACAGTCATCTGAAGTAACTGTACAATTGTGAGTTTGTGCAGATAGTAATGCTGAAATATTTTCTTCAGTAACATCCCAGCTAGAGCACTGGTTAGGCGAAGTACTGTTAACCAATTCACAATTTAGTGGCCGCAAAAACTTTGAAATAGTGACACCAGCATCCCTTAAGTTACTTCTCCATTGCTGGGTATCTATGAAACAAGTGACAAACAAAATCAAAACATGGGACCATATTCTGAGCCTCGCAGTTTCATGCCAAATTTTCTCATAGAGCCATTTTAAAATTATCCTTCCTCACATACATAAGTTGTCAAATGAAAGAAAGAAGAAAGCAATAATGGAAAAGAACAAACAAAACAAGGGAAGTCAAGCAGAAAGAAATAGAACAAAAATAATCAACCTCCTACAGAACTGGGTATCACCTCCTTCTTTTATCAGTGCAAGCAGAGACATGTCCAAAGACATTTAAATATGTTTATTTGCTGTAAAGTGTATCCTCCTTACCATTTCTACAGTGGGCAGCTAAGGCCAAAGATGACCTGGCATAATTATTAACACCATCTTCACTCCTTTTATCAACCAATGCTGAATATGATTGTAGTTTCTCCTCTAGGAGTAAACACGAAGCATCATTACTAGTTCTACAAACATACGACATTTTAAAACCAGTCAAGTTTCTCAACCATTAATTAATTACAAAAATGATCAGACATTATGAAGTTAAATTGAATAACATATTATGTAGTGTTTCTAACAAATGGTAAAAGGTGAGTCCTGAGATTTTCACAGACATGCATATAAAGGTGGATGCTTTAGTCTAGTAATATTTAAGCCAAGAGAAAATTGCCCTACTGCACAAGCACCATAACATTATCCCTTTTAAGCCTGAAAATCATTTATGTGATGTATAACTTTGGCTTTCAGGTAACAGCAGCATTAAATATTTCATATTAACTAATATTTTGGCAAACATTACAGTTGCCATTTTCTAGAATTCAACATGACTCTCACATGAAAGCCAGTTATACATTGAACTCCAGCTGTGAAAACCTACAGACTGTTGCTGTTTCAGAAATTAATTAGTTTATTAAAAGAACATGAAACCCGAAAATACTCTGCAGACAAAATTCAGAGTTACTGAATGTTAAGTAGGCGCTACATATAGTTATCACTGGACTTTAACAAAGGGTTAAGATGTACAGGTTAAACTGTGAAATTCAGCATTACATACAAGTAAATGGTTAGCATAACTTTGTGGTCTCCAAACTCGTGGGGAAACTACATTATAATTCTGTTAGTGAGACCCGAAGTTTCAACGCCAGTAACACAAAGACCGGACACTGAACCTGATCGATAGTCAATACAGTTGACAAAATTTTGCAGGTCCTGGAAAGCGACAAACTATAGTAACGCATTAATTCCAAATGTCCACCATCAACTTTGTATTACAGAAATATCTACCTCCATAAGATAATATACACATGCAAATATAGTTTGAAATATACTACCGGTAGCTCAAGCTTACAAAGAAAGAGAAGCCAAATAAAACTGCGCTAAACATTTCCTTTTGACAGAGCAAGTAACAAACGGGTCGAATTCATTTTCTTTAAACTTTTGGCATTGGTAATAATACACAAAGTTATCTTCAAACGAAGCCATGAATACTGAAAACTAACATTTAAAAAAACATTTTTTCACAGTACAACCAATAAGCACTTTTTAAGAATTATTTCTGTTATCCCAAACGTTCGTCATCCCTAACGCGCGGAAATATATTTCGTTATACTTGACCAAAGATTAAAAACTGACCGCAGATAATAAGAACATAAAAGCACTGATTGGCACACTTAAGAACCATATGTGCAAATGTAGGAAAGAAAGCAGAAATAGTAAGAAGAAAATAAAAGTACCTAAAAACTTCTTGACGTAAGCTCTAATCTTCCAAATACATTTTAATTCTGGTAATATTACTTCGGCAAACTGAAATATTTTTTGCATGTTTATCAAAAAAGAAGATCAAAATCAATTGACACCACTTTCTTTGGCAAGTATTGCAGGCACGTCGGAGAAAATATTTATGCTCTAATGTAAATAAGTCATTAAATGTCCGATTTAGATAAAAATCGAGATGGTTTAAATTTTTAAACATGCTCCAATAATAAATTTAGTTAAAATTGAATAAATTGTTCTGGACTTCTTTCCTAGAACCATGGAAAATGAGACTGCCTTTGCATCATGTCAGATGCTTATGCTCACGCCGTACTTATTACTACCACGGTGTGCAAAGCAATCATACAAATGACAAAACACGTCGAAGTGGTCAAAACCCAGAGGCACCAAAGCCTGAACCATGACGATCATGAACAAATTACATATCTTTTATGCCTTAGATTGGAACAAGTGGACACAATTACAAATAATAATTACGAAACCTAAAGTGTGTTCACTTATACTTAATGCTATTTATGTAGTATAGGAATAAAAAGTTTCCCACACCGTGGAAATTTTCACGACTTATTTGGAAACTAAAGACTGATATGTCTATTGATTTTAATTTATCCAGTTTTGGCTTATATTTCTAGTCATAGGTATGAACGACATGCAGAAATATCTAAGCCATTGGCTAACCACTGTGCTGGAAATTAATATGTACATTGAATGCAGTTGCATATTTCCTTCCGGGAATGTTGGTTTTGCTCGTATGCGTTTTACAACGTTATCGTCATAATTTCTTCCGCTTATTTATGATCCGTGGTCCGTGTGGTGTGTGTATTGTGTGTTGTGTGTGCATGTTGATTACGTAGTTTGCAAATGTGAATGCTGACGATATAACCAGTTTATTACTTGCACATGGTAACGTGTTAAAATGGTAAGTGAAATAAATTAAAATAAATCTGTGTGTAGTGGCATAAATTCAGCCGTGTTGTAAAGAAGAGGCTGTTAAGTTATTGTATTGTCTAAGCTATAATGGAGGGTTAGAATTAATATTTTTGTTTTTATGACAACTTTGGCATAATTGTAGGATATGGGTCACATTTGAAGACGCAAATAAACACGCTAAAAGTCATATTATAAGCTAGAAAGTATGAAGCACTTGAAAATGGTGTGCGGCAAACCCTTTGAAGCAGTTAACCTAACCTAACCTTTTCTTTACCTAAAGTAAAAAGTTATAAACTATAATGTAACCCCCCCACCATGGGATTTTGATCGAACTTGTTTCAGACATTGCTTTTTATTTTTCGTTAGGTTAGTTGAGGTTAAAAGGTATAAGGCGTTTGCTGTGCCCTATTTTCAATTGATTTATCATTTGTTATGTGTAGAAAAACATACATATGTGTAGTACGTAATTTATTTATATGAAACTATTAAACCAACTTTTAATAATGTATTGGAGGGAACAGCCTACTTGGGAAGACAAGTCATTGTTAGAAGGATATCATAAAAATTGATCTGAAGGAAATGTGGAAGGAGGGTGTAGGAAGTTTAAATTTGTGAGTTGTCTTTTTTGATTTAGTAAACACTTGTATTTTGGTTACTTTGTCAATCCTTGTTACACAGACAGAGAAGAGTTTTTCAATACATTTTCATCTCTGTTTCAGTCTCAACTCTTTGTTCTGTTTGAACATGCAGCAGGCTTTGCCCTGTTTAAAGTCAATGAGTTTGAGGAAACAGGAATGTTACTACCACAAGTAGAGGCTTCTGTCACTGACTTAAGCCGGTTCAATGCAGTTATAAAACTTATTGGATTTTCACCATTTAAAACTGCAACAAGTGCTCTGGAAAACATGAATAGTATCTCAGAAGGTAAGTTGTTGATGTTTCTGTGTTATATACTGAATGAGTAGTTTGTTAGTGCAGATGTTCTGTTGGTGGTAGTTGCTGGATCTCAGGTATGTTCTGAACGTAAGTGAAAATAACTATTGTGAGTCTGTCATATTAGCCTTTAAAGGCTAAAAGAGTCATTTGTATGCTGTGAAATATTTTTGTGAGCGACAAAATGGAAGTGTGTCATTTTTCATTATGACATTATTGAAAACTTTATATACTTGGAAGATCGGGAATTTTTGTCTAAAACGTTTCTGCCTATGAGCTGCTTAGATTATCAGTTTCATTCATAACTGAATCGTCCACTGTAACAGGTGTGTTTGCATACCAACATTGTATTGAAAGTTGCAAAAGTCTCAAAATATTTGTAGTTTTCTCCAAACAGCTGTCCTCTCTTTATTATCTGACAGAACATTAAGATGAGACAGAAATAACTAAAAATGCTTCATAGCCATCTTTGTAGAAGTCAAAGGTTTGACATTATTAATACAAAGTACATTACTGTTTTGGGACCTACTTTCTTTACTTTGTCTTTTATGGTTTTTTGTATTTCTGTATTTGCCTTGAGTGCTGTCTGGTTTCAGAATCTGTTAGAGTTGCTTACATTGGATGTGATGTATATGTAAATAACAGCAGACTTAATTTGGCAGTATAGATATGAATGAGCATTTGACTTTTTAGGAGTTTTGCCTGGTGATCTGCAGCTGTTTTTAGAGACACATTTACCAAAACCAAAGGAAAAGAAGAAAGATATTCTTGGTGTGAGTGATCCGAAACTTGGTGCAAGTATTAATGAGGCATTGGGAATTGTTTGTCAGCATGTGGGTGTTGTACCTGAAGTCATCAGAGGTAAGTAAATGATTAATGCAAAGTACAGACAAATCATAAATAAGTGATTTATATGTGTGGATTTTTAGGCATTGTACCCTTTCATTGTGGTGGTGGTGGTTTTCACTATGTAAAAGAAACTGATATTGTTGATACTTTTTGTTTACCATTGCTATTTATAGAGAAATAGGAAAAGGGGAAAGACAGCAGTGCGAGACAATTCACTTGTTATGAATGGTGTCCATTATGTAATTTCTGAGTAATATGTGTCAGAGTAAGAAATGTATGTGTGACATACCCTCAGAAATTACTTATAATGGTATATGATACACAGTTTATATACATATACAGTATTGTATCGTCCATAACATTGTAGTGGTTAGGCTTCTATTTTAGAGGTCCCAGAATGGAATCTCAGTCCTGAGACCACCTATTTTCTTTCACATTATCTGGCATTTTTCAGTCCCTCCAGACAAAGTTGCATTAATGATTTAAAATGTTAACATAACTGTTCCCTTACATAGTTGTCCTAATTCTGCCTTCTTAATCATACTGCTGTTTGAGGCTCTGTAACCTATGCAGTTGTTAAAACACTACACAGTGAAATATAAAACATGCAATATTATCCACAGAACAGACACTGCCATTTATTTTAGTTAGCACTCTTGACTTCATACTTTGGAGTTTCCAGGTTGAATAACTACTCTCAAATTTCTAATTTTAATTTAACCTTTTTATGGTTTGCTTCAGGCTCTCCACCCATTTGCTAAGATAGTAGTGTGAAGTATTTAACCACCTCTTTAAATGTCCTTTTGCAATTATTCCTTTGTAAATGTATTGCCATTCAGTGCTGTGTGACTTTAGTTTGTTTAAGGCAACATTAATTAAAGTAACATACAGTACAATTTCCAGAAAGTATATGGTATGTGTTCTGAGTATATCCTTAGGCTAATGTGGTACAGACTGTGCATACAACCAGGGTATGCCCTTCCAGTGATAGTGGAAGGTTCCTCTTTGACTTATTTTGGTAGCAAACCTTGTATTCCATCCATCCAGTGGCGCTACACGCCTATCTAAACTGTGTATTACATCATAAAAATCTATGTTGGCAGTACAAAATTTAGCTGGCCATCATGTGGAAAGTAATTCTGTTAAGCCCTGGAATTTGGTAATGATGACCATTTTTGCTGTCATTAATTACCCAGTGTTTAGCTATATGGACATAAGAGTGTATGAAAGAATTCTAATGGTTTTTTTTATAAATTGTTTCTAGGTATAAGGTATCATTTCCATAAACTGGTGAAAGGATTCACATCTAAGTCTTCGGCAACAGCACAGCTTGGCCTGGGCCATAGCTACTCTAGAGCAAAAGTTAAATTCAATGTGAATCGTGTGGACAACATGATAATCCAGAGCATTGCGCTCCTGGACCAGCTCGATAAAGACGTCAACACATTTTCAATGCGCATCCGGTAAATCTGTAATCTTAATGTATATTTACTGGGTCATGCTTCAGTTTGATCTGACTCAATTTATTTGGCCAGATTATCTCTTCTTAGGACTGCCTCTTGATTCATAATTACAGACAGGTTTAAGGACAAATAATTTAGTTAAGAATTTTACTCAACATTCACCATACAACTCAAAATACCGAATTATGAGAAGTCAACGGTTGCACTTTTAGAACAATCTCAGTTGTTAACATGTTGTCACATGCTACTTTAAGGATTAACAAAATGATTTTTTTGAAACAATATTTTGTATACGATTGTTTCATTAACATAATTATTCATTTCTATGCAGTGAATGGTACTCGTATCATTTCCCAGAACTGGTGAAAATTGTGCCAGAGAATTACATGTTTGCAAAAGTAGCACGCTTCATAAAGAACCGCAAAGAGCTGACTGAGGATAAGCTAGAAGCTTTGGAAGAAATTGTGATGGACAGTGGCAAAGCACAGGCCATTCTTGATGCTACAAAGTCTTCCATGGGTATGAAAAGCATTTTACTTTTTTCCTTCACCATTGACATTCTTGTGGTTAGCTACTAGCTAGTACTTATAATTATTTATTTCAGATGCATGCTTTTGGTTAATATTTTGATGGACAGATGTCAAGTACCTTTATAGGTGTAACAGTTACGAAATACGTAGTCAGTGAGGAAAATTCTTTGGAAATGGGAGAAATTAATGATAAACACTTGATGGGCAAATGAACAAATCACAGAATAAGATGATATGTACACATTTAAAAATAAGTGGAAAGGGAATCAGAAGAAGTAAAACTCCCAACAGAGACCAAGATCAAGATGGGAACAACAGGTTGGTTGTCACATAGTAGGAAAGAAGAACATAGGGAGAAACTGAGGAGGAACTGTGAGAATAAAGGGATAGATGGAGATGCTTGGTTGTCACATGGCCAGCTTAAAGTGTAAGAATCTTATGAAGAAAAGTTTTGGATTGTAGAATGATGTGTGATATTGTTCTTCTTAAATTTAGGTTTGTTATGACTTGTTTCAGGTATGGATATTTCACCCATTGATCTGCTGAATATTGAAATGTTTGCATCACGTGTTGTTGCACTGGCCGATTACAGGCGTCAGCTAGCTGAATACCTTAGAATCAAAATGGCTGCTGTAGCACCTAATCTGGCTACTCTTATTGGAGACCAAGTTGGTGCCCGGCTTATTGCTCATGCAGGATCACTTACAAACTTGGCAAAGTACCCAGCCTCCACGGTTCAAATTTTGGGAGCAGAGAAGGCTCTCTTCAGGCAAGCCCTCATTTCCTCTTTTATGTTAATTTGTAATTACCTGACATTTTTCTGTGAAATAAATGTAAAAAATTCCCAGTGTTAGAATAAGTGGAGCTTATGCCAATATTTCCCTTCTGTTTGAAGTGAAGTGTTGCCAAGTCATTTTTCTTTTGTTGATTTTCTTTTTTCTATATTTTGTTTAATTCTTCCCCTTTCTCTGTGATATTCTTTGCCTAATTATTGGGTTCCTTCTTTCTTTCTTGTTCCCCTCTTTTCTCCTTCCTAGTAATCGTATTTATTCTGTATCAGGGCTCTGAAGACACGTGGTAATACACCAAAATATGGTTTACTCTTCCATTCAACATTTATTGGACGTGCTGGTCTGAAGAATAAGGGGCGCATCTCGAGGTATTTGGCCAACAAGTGTTCTATTGCATCAAGGATTGATTGCTTCTCTGGTGAGTTCTTTTCATTATTGCAGTTGTCTCTGGATTTCTGTGAGAGAAACAGTAACAATACACATACACACACAGATCGTGCATTAGCTTTTCCTTACAGACACCCAGCTAACATATTTCAAGAGGTGTGGCATCATCTTTGAATCTCATGTCTCTTTGTTGATACATGGTGCCACAACTCAGAAATTACTGAGTTCTTCATGACCTTGGTTCAGTTCAGAAGGCATCTTTCATGGTTGTGGCTTGATAAATTCTGTTACTTGACTTGAGCCACTTTCAGTATTTAAATTTGTCATACTGAACTATTTTCTCAAAAATTAATGGAGTTTCTTCTTAAAAGTATATGCTCTGGTATATTTTGTTTTTTATGCACTATATTTACAGATCAGATGACAAATGTGTTTGGTGAGAAATTGCGGCAGCAGGTAGAGGACAGGCTGAAGTTTTATGAAACAGGCGAGATTCCACGTAAAAATATTGATGTGATGAAAGAAGCTGTAGAAG